GAATTGTTTTTTTCCTGTATATGTACCCACGTTAACAATACACAGGATAAACGAATTAACTTTAAATAAATATCCCTTGTTAATATGTGATGTGTATATGGTATATGCAGTGCAAAAATAATTTAACCTTTTGACCGCCAGAGCGTAAATGCATTGTCGCCCCTCCCACGCCAAGATGCAAATTCAGCGCAAGTACCTACAAAAATAGGAATTTCAAGATCTTAGCGCGAGCTCCCTCTACGCATCGCAAGAACTTGTGAATTGATTCGCATCGCGCATCAAAATCTTATCTCCTAAGCAATAACAGAAGTGCACACTTCTTTTTACGATGCATGTCACGACCTAGTTTTCAGTTTAAAATACGTTTAGTACGGTTGACGGTCGTCGAAGAAATGGTTATGCTGGGAGACGCCTTGTCGCACGAAATCCCATCGCAGCCGTTCGCATCGTAATTTTTCGCGTTGCGAATTCGCATCGCATCGCATTACAGTTTTGTGTACGAGTCTTAAATCATTGCTTGTCGACCCATATTTTTTTATTATAACATTTATAACATTATTATTCGCTCGTTGGCCGAGTGGTCGCAAGTGCGACTGCCAGGCAAGGGGTCTCGGGTTCGAATCTCGGGTCGTACAAAATATTACTTCTCAGTAGTAGCACGGAGTCTGGAATTGTGTTTTCGTTTGTCGGCTGTAGCCACGGTAATAATATCATACAGTGCTCCAACTTCATATAACCGGACGAAACACGAGCTATACCTACGCGCCTCGATGTCGGGGTGCGCTCGGGCACAGATAGTCACGAACGGATGGTGTGTGATGGTGTATTGTTTTTTAACAGTAACCGCGAGATTTCTCTTCAAAAATCAGTTCGAGTACATATTTAATGCAATATCTAGTGCATAATTTGCAAATCTTTTTCGAAATATTTTTCAAATTTGTAAGCCCGATTTGTTTTCAAACAAAAACATGTTTTTTTTTTAAATAAAATCTACTGATCAAGAAATAAGGTATTTTTAATTCAATGAAAATAACAACAAAACTGAATAGAAACAGAAAGTAGGCTAATGTAATTTATATGCTGGAGACAGGCAGCCCTAAGGCCCTAACACAACATGTTTGCGTACCACGCGGCTGTACATATAACTAGCTTTTACCCGCGGCTTCGCTCGCGTCACAAAAGGATAAAAAGCCAATGTGACATATACCAATACACACAGCATCATCTATACCAATACTTTTGTTTTCCCTCGGGATATCAAATTTTTCCGGGATAAAAATTACCCAATTATTTAACTCGTCGAGTACCGTCATTATAGACACAATTATAGAACAATAGGTTGCGGTCACCGGTGACCGCTTGGTGTTTGACAGTTTAATCCGGACTTCTAACTATACATCTGCAAAAATTCAAAGCAATCGGTTTAGTAGTTACGGCGTGAAAGCGGAACAAACAAACAAACAAACAAACTCACTTTCCAATTTATAATATTGGTATGGATAGGTACTGTATGGTACTGTATGATAATATTACCGTGGCATAGCCGTCCGTGGCGGTCAAAAGGTTATATGTGACTCGTAGACGCAGTGCAAAAATTATTTCAAGGAAAAAGTATTTTTATTTATTTAGCTGTCTACTGTCTGTTCATTTTATTCACTGTAAACTTTAAACTAGCTGTGCCCGCGACTTCTTCCGCGTGGCATAGTGATTCACAGCTCCTACCTTGTAGAGGTAGGTGATGCGTCGGGGACGTAGTAACTATTAAGTAATCTGTGGTCGGGGATCGCGGGACGAACTCCGGTTACCCGAGATCAGACCCGAGCGTACGGCGCGAAGCGTTCTTCGCGTGCCTCAATGAGCCATCAGACCACCACGGATGGGGCCCAATAGGGCTGATGCCGATTCGGATACGCGGATAACCTAACGGGTTTTTTTTTTTAAGGGGGGAAAATCATCGAATGACTGCTCCCGCCTGGGTGAGGCGGGAGGGAGTGTCAGGCTCTTATTGACTAAAAACCACCCCGTTCCTTCTCCTGCAGGTCGAGCCGGAGCCCCGGTTACCCGTTAGGTTCTCCGCGACACAAAAACAATCGTCTCCGGTGGGATTTGATCCATCGACTTCTCGATTACACAGACACATGCGTTATGTAATCTGCCACTCATTCATAACCTAACGGGTTACCGGGCCTCCGCAGCTCCGGCTCGACGTGCAGGAGAAGGAACGGGGTGGCTTTTAGTCAGTAAGAGTCTGACACTCCCTCCCGCCTCACCCAGGCGGGAGCAGTCATTCGATGATTTTACCCCCTTAAAAAAACCCTGTAGGTGATAGATAGCCTAATAATAATGTAGCCTATATGTTGCATCGACCTGTTAGTGAAATGCATGCAAAGTTTGAAGTAAATCCATGGATCCATCCATTCTTGGGTTTTTTTAAGGGGGGAAAATCATCCTTCTTGGTTTTAGCTCGGGTTTACACACAGACACACAGACAAACAGACAAAGATTTTTTATTTTTTATTAGCACAAGCCCACCACAACCTTCCAAAACCGCTGCAACTCCTGTAAGCCAGGATCTACAGTAGATACAACCATGAAAACACCGGAACACTGAAGTCCGGCGCGTCCCAGGGACATGAACTGCCTTGGTTCCCGCAACGAAGTGAATCAGAAGATATTAGAGGTATAAGAGGACAGACAAAGATTCTAAAACCTACCTATATTATGGGCTTCAATATCGATTGTAGATCATGTTCCATGATCACATATTAGCGGTCGGTGTCAATCTAATAACATCCCCTACTTTTTTTTATTTTCAAAGTACACAATTTACATTTCTGCAGTTTTATTATAGATATATATATAGATTTTGTTAATAATTAAATTATAATTTGTTTAATTTTCCCTGTGCATTGTTATAAATACATTCATGTGTTATACCTAACAAAATTTAATATATTATTAGTTTATAGGTAGGCCATTTATTTGTTTAGTGAATTGGACATAATAATATACATATATATACAAGGAATTTTTGTGGATTAATTAAAATTATTCAATTTCTATATTTTTCTTCCCTAACGAAGCTTTGAACGTGGGAAGTTTTTGACCAAATCTTTAAATTTAGCTTCTTCGATGAACAGTTATTGTTGATCGAAGTTTAGCTTAGATCGCTAAGAATTTTTTTATTTGTATAACACGTTAAACTCCATGGGGGTTACCGGTGACCGACATTAGCGTAGGAAATGTCGACCTCATCGTTCGCTTGATAAAATTGACGTGTAAAAGTGCTGCCTTGTAGCCTATTTGCAGAAATAAATTCACTTGTTTCACTTGTTTCACTTGTTTCACTTGTTTCACTTGTTTCACTATACCTTCAACTGTTTTTTATTGGCAGTCAAAGTCTTAACTAGCCGAGTGGTCGCAAGTGCGGCTGCCGGGCAAGGGTCTCGGGTTCGATTCCCAGGTCGGGCAAAGTATTAGTAGGTTTTTAGCAAAACCTCAGTAGTACCTACCACAGAGTCTGGAATTGTGCCCGGTATATGGCAATAGGCTCAAGCCCTATTACATGGGACTCATGATACAAATAGTGAAAAGTGGTGTACCCCTTCGGGAATAAAAGGCGTGATGTTATGTTGTTGTTTTAATATATTTTACTAGCTTTTGCCCGCGACTTCGTTCGCGTGGAATAGTGACTTCCGGCAGATTTTTGGTTTTACCCACATAGTTCCGGATCTCTTCAAAAATGAAATGTGGAAGATATTCTAGGGAACTCTTCAAAAATCAACATAATGAGCTCTACATTTGAATTGAAGATATATATACTCGCTTAGGGCATTAAAGCCATTATTGCTGTTCGAAAAAGGCGAAAATGTTGTTATTCCCTTATTTTCAAAATATTATTGTGATTTGCCATTTCAGAAAAAAAGACAGTCTCCCTTGACAAATTACCTAATCCCTTAACAACCAAGCTTAAATCTATAATTAACTTAAAACTATATAAAAGAACGATCTAATTAATTTAAAAATTAAAATGAATTTAGACATACAATTTTAGTATCTACTAATAATCAAGATCAAACTACAAACAACAACCAGACAACCCAACAAATAAACCTTTTAATCTACTATTACGACGGAACCAATTTAGATTTACGAAACGATCAATCCTCAATTCCACGACAGTACCGAAGCATTCGGCTGATACCCAACCAAATGCGTGTAACGAAAACATAGCGCGATCAATTTGATCTTAACGCCATCTATCGAGCATAGTGACAACTCGGATTATTTATCTATACTCCGTTCGGGCATTTTCTTTGTACTAAAAGTTTTATTTTTTCATACCTTTTTACTATTTATTTACTTTTTTCCGATGATTTAAAATCATAACATGAACCGAACTCGTGTAACGATCGACACCATTGCGCGATCACCAACTCGATAATAGAATTATCTATACTCCGTTAAAGTATTTTATTTGTACTTAAAGTTGTATTATATTTTTCATACCTTTTTACTCTATAATTACATTTTTCCGTTGAATTTTCAGTACTGAATTGATGCCGACTCTATACCAATAGATGGCGCTGTATGTACGCAATAAATTTTTTTTTTATTTTATTTTTTGTAATAAAAACTACCATATGTCCTTCCTCAAGTTCCAAACTATGTCCGTACCAAATTTCACACAAATCGGTTCAGTAGTTTAGGCGTGAAGCAAAGACAGACAGACAGACAGAGTTACTTTCGCATTTATAATATTAGTTTGGACTAGTTTGGATTTGGATTAGTTTGGATTTGGATGTACTATACAAATTTAATATTACACGCAGACGAAGTCGCGGACACAGCTTGTTGACTATAGAACAGCAGTTTTTCATGTCAACATAATTATGAAATGACGCCGGGATAGGTATCGTGACTATTCTGAGAAGAAATGCTTAAATAAACTTCATGATATATTTGTTAGGAATTACCTTATTGCACAATATAAATAAGGTTATGTAGAAGCACACTGCATTCGTCACTCGACAATCGAACCAAACTCGTGTCGGACACGAACCGTCATTTATTTGATAGATAAGGAAATAACATCGAAATAACAATGACAACAATCAGCAATCCGGTGAGTGATTTTTTACATTATTATATTCTTGGGGTGGGAGGAATCAAACTGAACCACTAGCGTTAATTTTTTTTATTGGTCTCGCTGCCATTGCAGCGGTAAGTCCTCTCTTTGAGCATGCATGAGACGCCGAGCATGGATGGCTCGCCGCCCGACCAGCAGGGGGCTTACTCTTGTATCCAATTCCGATCGATCGACATTGGTATTGTGAAATTTCGTACTCCTGAGTTTTAACACTAGTGCCCATTGCATCCGTATTGCGTGGATATTGAATGAACTAAATGGTATTGAGTTTGTCTTTATATTCCGTACTCTGAATGCTATTGTAACAGCTACAATGAGGGTTGTATAGTGTTGACATTGAATAATTGTTGAGTATTTATTGGATTGCAATTGCATTGACATTGAGGTTGGTTTCAAGAGTAAGCACCCTGATATCGACGGTTACTGATAATCGTTTAGTTATCACAATAAATGTGAATTTTGATTGCTGCTATAATTAAAAATTAGTGTAAGATAGCAAAGGAAATTATTTATCATTCGTGTGAAGACCGCATGAACCAATTAACTATGTAAAAATATTTCACAGTTAGATCATTCCTGTAGGTATTTATTTTTTATATAAACAAGAGTAGAAAATGCAGTAAATGTTTCAGTGCTTCGTCCTATATCTCCATATAATCTGACAATCTGTCTTTATATTCAGATACTTTACATTCCTCGGGAACGCGGGCGAAGTCGCTGGCATATGTGATGTGATCACAAGAATATTTATTAATTATTATAAAACGCCTCTGCCTCGTTGGCCGAGTGGTCGTGTGCGACTGCCGCGCAAGGGGTATCGGGTTCGATTCGCGGGTCGGGCTAAGTCTTACTAGCTTATCTAAAACAAAAATCTCAGTGTTACCACGGAGTCTGGAATTGTGCCCGGTATATGCCAATACGCTCACCCCTTATTACATGGGACTCATAGTGAAAAGTGAGTGTTACATTGTACAGTGGCGTTAAGTGCCGTAAAGTGCACCTCTGCTTTCTCCTTCGGGATAAAAAGGCGTGATGTTATGTTATTACAAAACGTCCTCGTCAAACAACTACTTGAGAAGCCAAAAACATAATAATTAATTAACTAGTATCTATGTCTCAAGAAAGTTTTAATTTCAAGAATAACTATTTGTCTATTTTCCAGTTTTCAAGGTCTTGACAAAAATACTTAATGCAATACCTTTTCAATGTGTAAACATGTGTTTTCGTTAATTCTGATAATAGAAATAACAGTCAACTGTCGCCAAATGTCATCTCGCTATTATTAGGTCGATCTGTAAATACAATATAGCTTTTGTAAATGCACACATTCCTAATAGTTCAATCATCATGGAACTTGGCAAGTGTTTGTGGAGTTACAATTACATCATATTAAAAATCTCACAAAGAGAAGGTTTGAACATTAATCACCACGCTTGCTCAATGCGGGTTGGCGATTTCAGACTTATAATTAGAAATAATAAGCCCAGGTTTCCTCACGATGTTTTCCTTCACCGTTTCTCAGTGATGTCTAAATAGTCTTTGCAAGTATAGCTATATCTTTATATATATAATTCTGATGTACGTGTGTATGTCATTGAACTCCTCCTAAACGGCTTGACCGATTTAAATGAATTTTTCTGTACGCGTTTAAGTGGCGCCCTGGATGGTTTAGATTCACACATTAGCCCGGCAGATGGCGCTGCAGTCGTGCCTTTTTTTTAAGGGGGGAAAATCATCGAATGACTGCTCCCGCCTGGGTGAGGCGGGAGGGAGTGTCAGACTCTTACTGATTAAAAACCACTCCGTTCCTTCTCCTGCACGTCGAGCCGGAGCCCCGGTTACCCGTTAGGTTATAGTCGTGTCTAGGTTAGTGATCCTAAACGGCTGAACTAATTTGAATGAATTCTTGTTTATACATTCAAGTATCCAATTGAATGTATAAACAATGGATATGCAGAACGACGTCTGTCGGGTCCGCTAGTAGTATACATAACTCGGAAAATGTCACATTGGTACTTGCCGTTTGTAAGTATCGAGCTGGCACACTAATGTTAGGTTCTCCGCGACGAGACCAGGGATATAGGGATTCATTTTTATATGGGGGATATTATAGATCCGAGTTTAAATTGAATAGGTACTCATACCTAAGATAGGTCAACTATACAAAATAAAATAGTGTATCAAAGCTAAGCTAAGGCGGTACGAAGTTCGCCGGGTCAGCTAGTACATATATAAAAAGAAAACCCGTTTCCCGTTGTCACACCATAACTTGAGAACGGGTACACCAAAGTGGCTGATGTTTTTTGTTGTGTTTGTTATATGACAGGAGAAGGTTCTTATGACGGAAAAAATCTTACTGGAATGGGAGAAAACGGGATTGCGCGTACGAAGTCGCGGGGAGAAGCTAGTAATATCTAATTCTATGTTTGAAATCGACAACCCGCATTGAGCAAGAGTACCTAGTGATTAATGCTCAAACCTTCTCTTTGTGAGAAGAGGGCTTTGGTCAGCAGTGGGGGCTTATAGGCTGTTGACGTGACAGTGTGATACCTATCCATGTGCACGTTTGTCAACATCTTCGGGGCATAAAACGCGTGATTTCTGTTTGTTAACTTGTTTAAACGCTTACATCTCTGGGACTACTAGACCGAGTTAATTCTTTTTGTGTTCGACAGTCCATTTATTGAAGGATCTTATCTTATACTATTATATAAAGCGGAAGAGTTTGTTTTTTTGTTTGTTTGTTTGAACGCGCTAATCTCCATAACTACAGGTCTGATTTGAATAATTAATTTTTGTGTTGGATAGCGCAATTATCGAGGATGGCTATAGGCTATAAAACATCACGCAACGACCAATAGGAGCTGAGTAGAGCGTGTGAAACCGCGCGGAAGTAGCTAGTAGGTCATAAAACATCACGGTATGGTCAATCTAAGACGATCTCCGGCCACCGTAAGTACGGGCCTGCGGACGGCGAGCATAGGTGGCCGCCGCCCGACCAGAACCAGACCTGAGTGTACGGCGCGTCGCGTTCCGCGCGCGCCTCATTGAGCCATCAGACCACCACGGATGGGGCCCATTAGGGCTGATACCGATACGGAGTCGCGGAGAACCTAACGGGATACCGGGGCTTTGGCTCGAAGTGCAGGAGTAGGAACGGGGTAGTGTTTAGTCAGTAAGAGTCTGACACTCCCTCCCGCCTCACCCAGGCGGGAGAAGACATTCGATGATTTTCCCTTCTAAAAAAATAGGTCAATAGAGTCATAGAGTCATAGAGCATAGGTCATAGAGCAGTGCGGGAGAAACAGCATGGGAGTAGCTAGTAAAAGATAAAAGATATATCAATACATAGTATAAAACAAAGTCGCTTTCGCTGACCGTCCGTATGTATGCTTAGATCTTTAAAACTACGCAACGGATTTTGATGCGGTTTTTTTAATAGATAGAGTGATTCTTAAGGAAGGTTTGTATGTATAATACATGCATATTGCACCCGTGCGTAGCCGGGGCGGGTCGCTATTAATATAATAATACATATTTATTTATCATTCCAGACAATACCTGCTTCGTTCCCGATTCCGTTCGGTGTCTTCCCTGGCCGCATCTTTAGCGTGAAGGGTCGCACTCCAGCCAACTCGAAGAGGTGAGTTTATATTCATTATTTTATGATTGCCTCGTTGGCCGAGTCGTCGCAAGTGCGACAAAGAGTCTCGGGTTCGATTCCCGGGTCGGGCAAAGTATAACCGGGTTTATTTAAAATTCTCAGTTGTAGCACGGAGTCCAGAATTGTGCCCAGTATATGGCAATAGGCTCACCACCTATTACATGGGACTCATAACATAAACAGTGAAAAGTGGTTGTTTCATTGTACAGTGGCATAATGTACATCTCTGCCTACGCCTTCGGGGATAAAAGGCGTGATGTTATGTTATGTTATGTTTACCTAATTACAGTCTTCTTGATACATTGTCTGATCCTTTACCTATTCTACATATATACATAATTATATGAGACCGATGTAATGACAATACAAAGTAAAATTTAATAGGACGACGGAATCATCCTCTGAAATAAAAAAGCTATGAATGATCGTTTCAAACATGGTGCTCACATAATTATGTACATACACTTAAAATTTGAAATAAAGCATCTATACAAATAAAATTTTTTGTTTAAGTTTTTGAAATTGAAAAAGAAATGTTCGATGCCATAAGATATCAGGATGATGACAATTAAGAAGTTTACATTACTATAATGCCTACAGGTTCGCTATAAACCTACAATGTGGTCCGAAAATCTACAATGATGAAGTCATAGCGTTTCATTTCAACCCTCGCTTCGACTTCAACTCTCTTGTCCGCAACCACTTCGGGACCAGCTGGGGCACTGAGGAGGTCAGCTCTGGAGTGCCGATGAACCAAGGAGAATGTTTCGAAATACTTATCTATTGCTATTATTATTCATTTAAGGTAAGTCAATAAACCGTAACCGTAATTCTACTAATATTGTAAATTTGACTGCACAGTTGGCGCAGTGGCTAGGCAACTGGCTGCCGCGCAATATGTCGCGGGTTCGATTCCCGCAGGAAACAATTCTTTGTGTGATCCACAGATTGTTGTTTCGAGTCTGGGTGTCGTGTGTATGTGAACTTGTATGTTTGTAAACGCACCCACGACACAGGAGAAATTACTAGTGTGAGGCAAAGTTAAAAAAAATGCAAAAGTTTGTCTGTTTGACTGTTTGTTTGTTACTCCTTCACGTCGAAACGGCTGAAGGGGTCGGGATGAAATTTGGAACAGGGGTAGATTATAGTCTGGAATAACACATAGGCTACTTCTTATCCCACGGGAACGCGGTTGAAGCCTGTGGCAGAAGCTGGTTCGACTATAAGTCTACTTCTACCTACACCTACCAGTGCCCAATGAATAATTAATTTGTTTTGTACTTAACACTAACTAATTTCCTCAAATCTTACCAGGTGGAAGTCAATGGAAAATTTGTCTGCGAATTCGACCATCGCATGTCGTTTCGTAAGATCACCCACATCATGGTAGCCGGTGATGTTACGATAGATGCAATCAGTTTCGTAGGAGCGAACACGCCACAGGACCCGAATCTGGTAAACCACTTTATTAACCGACTTCAAAAATAAGAGTTTCTTAATTTAACCTGTTTACGTACAGGTTAAATTTATGTTATATTTATGTTTAAGCGCAATTATCTCGCGATTGGCTGACTTGATTCTGATGTGTAGGCTACTGTTTGTTAAAAACCTCTTTTGTAATTTTAACCAGCAGACGGATCACCTGATGATAATCAATCGGCATCGCCCATTGACACCTGGAACACTAGAGGCGTTACAAGTGCGTTACCGGCCTTTTGGGGATTAGGAGTTTCAGGATCGTTGGGGATTCAGGAATTGGGGAGATTGGGGAAGGGGAGGGTAATTGGGCCTCCGGTAATCTCACTCATACCACGAAACACAACGCAAACGTTGCTTCACGTCGGTTTTTTGTGAGGCCGTAGTATCACTCCGGTCGAGCCGGTCCATTCGTGACAAAGCATGGCTCTCCCACACTTAATTTGAAATTACGCGTGAAGTACGGCTAGAAAACTGGTGGTAACGTGGTGTGTTCGTTTTAAAATTTAAAATCGTAGTCCCGCCCTGCCGCGCGCACCTCAAGGTGCCATCAGACTACAGCTGGGGCCCAATAGGGCTGATGCCGACACGGAGCCGCAGAGGACTTAACGGGTTGCCGGGGCTCCGGCTCGAAGTGCAGGAGTAGGAACGGGGTGGTTTTTAGTCAGTAAGAGTCTGACACTTCCTCCCATCTGACCCGGGCGGGAGAAATTATTGGATGATTTTCCTCCTAAAAAACATCCCCGCGTGGCCCACGCTTCGCTCGACCGGACTCATTCCGCGGTCGCGCCAACAGTTGCCGCCGAAACGTTGAGCGATTGAGCGAGTATTTAAACGCCTCGAGTTCTGCTAATTTTCACAGTTTCTTGAAATCATTGTGAACAACACCAGCCCTAATCTGCTACAGTGCGGTTTTCAAGTGTTTGTTACACCTAGGAGAAGGTATTCGTAGTCTGTCAGTCAGTCAGTCAGTCCTCTAGTTGCTCTATTTGCTAGTTCAAAGTGTAGATTCCGTCCTAAAGAGTAGAGAAGAACGAGCAAGAAATTCCATAGATTACCCTTGCAAGCAGACTGATCACCAGATTGTAAGCTATCAGCGCCGGTTAAGGACTCGCAACACCAGAGGTACTGTACTTAAGTGCCTTTTAGGGATTTTGGTTTTTTTTGGACAAGTCCGCCACAACCTCCCTGTACTTCTGAAAATGACATCAAAATCGGTTCAGCCAATCGCGAGATATTCGCGCACAAACATACATGCACACAAGTCAAACGATTGTATGTAAGTCTTTTAATAAGTAGGGGTTTCAATAAATATTTTGTTTTCTATATTCCTAGATGGTGCCATGCGTGGTCCCTGTTCCTGGGAGCATGCAACCCGGTCGCGCGATTCGAGTGAAGGGAACGACCCCTTCAGGAGCGAAGAGGTAAAACTAAATTCGTATTAAGTATTTTCTATGCCAACGCCGCGCGCTCTGCGATCGGTTGGCGGGCGATCGAAATGGGACGGCCGGTCTGGAACTCAACTGATTTTTTAACCGCTCGCCTTACAATAATAAACTGCCAAATTTGCGACTGCAGACAACTGCAGTGTCGTGTTGAATATTAAGCGTCTGTAGCGTAAGGCTGGCTGTCCACGGACGTGAAGAGGAGCAGCTGAGCGGAGCCAGCGAGTATTGCTGACCGGAGTAATGGACTGTCAAACTTCAGCGGTATACTATACTGTCTCAATATCCCATACCCCTATATCTCCCGAGACCGCTTCCCCGCCGCCGGCTCACTCAGCTGCCCCACTCCGCCGGCTCCCTCAGCTGCCCCACTCCGCCGGCTCCCTCAGCTGCCCCACTCCGCCGGCTCCCTCAGCTGCCCCACTCCGCCGGCTCCCTCAGCTGCCCCACTCCGCCGGCTCCCTCAGCTGCCCCACTCCGCCGGCTCCCTCAGCTGCCCCACTCCGCCGGCTCCCTCAGCTGCCCCACTCCGCCGGCTCCCTCAGCTGCCCCACTCCGCCGGCTCCCTCAGCTGCCCCACTCCGCCGGCTCCCTCAGCTGCCCCACTCCGCCGGCTCCCTCAGCTGCCCCACTCCGCCGGCTCCCTCAGCTGCCCCACTCCGCCGGCTCCCTCAGCTGCCCCACTCCGCCGGCTCCCTCAGCTGCCCCACTCCGCCGGCTCCCTCAGCTGCCCCACTCCGCCGGCTCCCTCAGCTGCCCCACTCCGCCGGCTCCCTCAGCTGCCCCACTCCGCCGGCTCCCTCAGCTGCCCCACTCCGCCGGCTCCCTCAGCTGCCCCACTCCGCCGGCTCCCTCAGCTGCCCCACTCCGCCGGCTCCCTCAGCTGCCCCACTCCGCCGGCTCCCTCAGCTGCCCCACTCCGCCGGCTCCCTCAGCTGCCCCACTCCGCCGGCTCCCTCAGCTGCCCCACTCCGCCGGCTCCCTCAGCTGCCCCACTCCGCCGGCTCCCTCAGCTGCCCCACTCCGCCGGCTCCCTCAGCTGCCCCACTCCGCCGGCTCCCTCAGCTGCCCCACTCCGCCGGCTCCCTCAGCTGCCCCACTCCGCCGGCTCCCTCAGCTGCCC